TAGGGGTTTAGGGGTTTAGGGGAATACGAAATGAGCGAACAGCCCTGAACATCTTTGTTGATGATGACAAGTAGATCATTCGAGCCACGTGAATGTGAGGCCGTGCTTTGCCTCCTCGATGCAGCCTATGAGTTGGGTCGGAAGCTCAAGGATTTTAAGACTGGGGAGTGGAGGAGGGGTTGTTGCATCAGAGCATGTTTTCTCTAAAACATCTGAGAGTTGAAGGTGACGAGCGGCCCATTCCTCATGCAGCATTGGCGGACGTGCTGCGAGTGTCCCAGATGCTTCAAGTCCGTCAACTCGAAGAGAAAGCAGTGCCGGTCTCAGCTGTTTTATTCCTTCTATTGTGCCCGCAAACGGTTGTCGATCCGTTCAAAGCCCATCTCTACCTCTAGCCTCCACAGAGTCCAGGTGTATAGAACGTGAAAGTGTGCTGGTATCTTTCGTCGAGTTGAAAGCCGGGTGCGGACACCCCATCTGAATCTCGCATCAGGTTTCCTAAACTTAAAAATTCCAAAATCTCCCCCCAAAAATCCCCTCAGGTCAAGTCGTTGGCAATGGAGATTACGAGTGAGAATTTCCTGGAGCGCCTCGACCTCTGCGTGGAATTCAACTTAATCTTCCTCTACGAGCGGATCCTGCGCCATCTTCACAAGCAGGGGAAGCTCCTGGAGGTGTGCAGGTGCGAGGAGATCGTTTGCTTCTGGGCGGTCTTACCATGGTAGCACGGTGATTTTGCGATATGAGGCGACGACCGAAGACATCCTGACTAATATTCGGAAGCAAGGGTTTGAAACATGTCGGGAAGAACAGTTCCGAAGACAAGGCTACCCGCGGCTCATGCAGCACATGGTTCTGTACCTCTCCACGCACGACCTGAAGTGACCGCCGCACTGCTGCCGGTACTACGGTGCAGCTAATCCCTGGAGCCACACAGCTGGCGAGTCTTGCAAATCGAAGGTAACAGTAAACATGTGGAATGTACCAACAACGTGTAATTAGTAGGGGTTTTGTCCACATGCAGCAGCCCATCACCGACAAAGTGTGATGCGGTGCTGCGATGTGAATGCTAGCTTCGGGAGGGCCAGGTTTGGTCCTGCAGCCTCTGTACCATGGCGATCGTTCCCCAGCAAAGGTGGTGGCGCAATATCTCAAGAATGCACTTTCTCTCTGTCACATACACATATATACACATATGTATATACACACATACACATGTCTACACTTTGTGTGCTCAAGTTTTTTCTGGTGCGAGATATCAATCGACCACAAGAGAGCCGGTGCTGCATGGAGTGAAGCGAGTGCTCAAGCGAAGAAACTGTTTAATCGAGGTCTGAATAGTTAGGAATACCATCCCGTCAGGTCTATAAACCTCAAGAGACCCCAAGACCCTATTGAAGCCGACCCGGCGTCTGTTCCGCGCGATGCAGCTGCACTGTCGCAGAGAAAAGGTGCTAAGGTCCAGGATCTCACCGCCAGAAGGTCTCGATAGCTCGGGGCACCCTGAATCCGAGAATGCAAGCCCTGAGCCGTCATCAGACTTGACAGTAAACCTGCAACCGCAACCCTCACGGCCGCCGCAACCCTGAAGAGGGTTCCAGCCCCTCAGGGCGCAAGATCATCTTCTGGGTGTCAATAAGGCAACATAGAGCATTGCCTAATCCACAACCCCAGATAAACTCCATGTTTGTTTACCTTCGACCTTGTGCAAGATTACCCTAAGCCCTCCCCGAGCCTTCAGATGACGGCTGGCCCCTAGGAACCACCCATTACTTCTGTTTGCCTCTGAGCTCCGACTCCCTGAACCCTACACCCTCGGCTCCCTAAGCCCTAAACCACCCTAAACCCTGTAGCCTAGACTCTCTAAGCCCTAAACCCGAAGACTGCTAGGCCTGACTTCTCCCCGCGCCGTAAACCGACTTCTCCGACTGCAGGCCTTCCGCAAAAACACGGCCGAGCTCGGATGCCAAGTCAGAGCATTCGGGTTTAGGGTTTAGGGTTTAGGGATGCGGTTTTGCGGCGTGGGGCTGGGCAACTCCTGCAAGGAAGGGAAGTTGGGATTTGCGTCCCCACGTTACATCAAAAGGATCTTGAACTGAGAACCAAGCGCCTGGACCTGAATCCCCCCCAAAAGCGCGCATTCCACACTAAACTTCCACACCTCGCACTACTCCAAAAGCCCGAACTTACACGAGGCTGCTTGCAGCGCGCCCCATGCACGACAAGGTAGAGCACCTTGAGGCGCTTGCCCACTCTGGGATGAATGTGGCTGGGTTGGGGATTAGGGTTTAGGGTTCAGGGCTAAACCTTAAACCCTAAGCAGGGGGTCTCGGGAGTTCATGGATCAGGCTACCCGAAAGCCTAAACACTAAATCCCCAAAGACACCTAGAGCCTTAACCTTTAGCCGCCTGAACCCCAAGCCCTCGTACCTTCACATTGCACAATCTCCTCTGATACCATCGTGTATGATGTTGTATCCTGCTATGTTTTATGATGTCAGCTAGCTCAGATTATATGACATTTTCGTAGATATGGTATCATACCATACAATATATGACATGAAAGCACTTCCAGTCGCCAGGGTGAGCTTCAATCCTTGGCACAGCAGACAGTGGCCCTCTCTGCGGCGGCGCGGGGCCCGAGAGCCAACATGCGATGGCGCGACATGAAAGAACTCCATGACTCCATGACGATGATAGTAACAACAAGTATCTCTTTGTGGCAAAGTCTACTCTGCCTGTAGGTGTTGTTGTCAGTTGCTACTTGGCGCTGCACCGTTGCTTACGAGCAGGAGAAACATTGCCATGCCTATGAGCGGCAAACTCATGAATTTCAAGCCCATGTCCTGGAACTCGGCGACGAAGCATTTCATTGTCAGAATGGCTATGCTTATTGACATAACAATGGCTGTGACTACTGTCAGTTGCAGTCGTCGCAGTCACTGTGGCAGTAGTAGTCGTAGTCGTCGTCGTCGTTGTCGTCGTCGCAGTCGTCGTCGTAGTAGTAGTGGTAGTGGTAGTGGTAGTGATAGTGGTAGTGGTAGTGGTAGTGGCAGTAGTAGTAGTCGTCGTCGTCGTAGTAGTAGTAGTAGGAGGAGGAGGAATGGTAGTAGCAAGAGGAGTACAAGTCGTCGGCGTAGTTCGTCGTAGCAGCAGCAGCAGCAGCGGCAGCAGCCCTAGTACGAGTGGGAGTGTAGGAGGAGCAGCTGCTTGTCCCTTTGGTTTGGAGTTTCTGTTTGGGTTCTGTGTATATAATATGGCCAGCCAGCTTGAGGTCAACCTCCCCATGCAGGCCGAGGTGTGCGGGCTTCAGCCGACGTCCTACAATCTCCCGATGGAAGCTTCGCCCAAGCCTAAACCCGTATAAAAGGCATGAAACCTAAAGGCACGCTTAACGGAACCCCTCAAACCCGAAGGCCCTAAGGTTCAGGGTTGCTCTTGGACCCTGGCTTCCTGAGTTTGTTGGGTCTGCCATGAGTTCTTTGAACCCGTGCTTCCTGGCTTTGGACCTTCGCGCACCGGAAGCCGCAAAACCCTAGTTTCAGAGGTCGTTAAAGCTGAGCATAATAATAGTAATAATAATAATAATAATATTAATATTAATATTAATAGTAATAATATTAATAGTAATTCTGCAACCTGTGCATTGTCCCACCCCAAACCCTACAAGACCTAACTCCAAGTCCCAGGCCCAAAGAAGCAAACCTGATTCTCACAAACCCCAAACCCAAGAAGCCTTATTTGGCGTCCAGTAGATAACATGGCTCCCGAAAAAATGTCCGCACAAAAGCTTCAAAGCCCGAGGTTACTGAAAAGGAAAAAGCCCAAGCCCCAGACATAAACCCAACACCCCTAAACCCTAAACCCTAAAACCTAAACCCAACACCCCTAAACCC